AATACATAACGGCCTAAGAACCCAGGTCTCCCGCACAAGAGCCCATACTGATCAGATAGGTATGTTGGTACCTCCCTTAAAAGTGCGCTTTGTACGCTGTATTGCGGTTTACAGCTAGGCTGTGACTTATACGCCTTACGGCCCATCAAGTCAGATTATATGCACATATGTGCACAGCTACATCGTATCCTACCTACTTACTAAAATGCCAGTCTATCTGCCTATATACTAACCCAATACCCGTCTGCCTGCTTGAATAAATACCTGATTAATTACCTAAATACCAGTCTAGCAATTCACATACTTACCAAAATCTATATGCAACTACCTACATATTTGACTAACAGCAATCGGCTTGTCTCATAGATTACTCACTTACATATCTAAATACCTTCGTATTTACATCGCTACCTAATTATTTACTTTCCTTGTATTTCCGCCGCATGGATCTCAAACACAGAGAACAATTACTACAGAAGAGCGTGAGTAATAAATAGCACAATAAAATCACTTACGTTGAGCTGTGAGTGAGAAACAAACAAATTGCAATGAATCAGGAGGTGAAGAAAAGACGCTGGCGTTGGATAGGACACGCGTTGAGAAAACCCGAGAACAATGTTTAGAAGAAACACACAGAGGAGCATGCACAACAGGGTCCACAGTAGAAAGATCCCTCGTCGAAGATCGATTCGACCCATTACTTCCTTTACAATATAAATATAGTGCTCAAAACATTTTAACAAATATCACAAAAAATCCCCTAGAGGTCAGCACGCATTTTTGCGTGTGGCTTTATATATCTCACATCTTTATGATTTTATTAATTTCACTCACACAACTGCTGCTGTGTTCTTAAAGCTGCGAATGTCTTTCTTGCTTTGTATGTGTGTATGTGTGTGTGTGTGTGTGTGTGTTTGTACGTGTGTGTGTGTGTGTGTGTGTGTGTGTGTGTGTGAGAGAGAGAGAAATAATTGTGTGCACCTCCCAACAATAGAATAAACAGTAATTGACAAAAGCGGGGAGATTGTTTGCAGATCATTTCCTATGATCATTCGTTGTGATTATTTTGTTAGCCTATCCTACACACAATCAAAAAAATGTTCCGCCAAATTCGTTGAAAGTTAAAGCTGGAGATAACCACCTGGGAGTGAAACGCCAATGACACTCGACAAATTTAATATTTTGAAGAGTACCCTTAAGTCAGTTTGATGTAACCAGGCTGACTATTTGCTTTTAATTGGTTTCGGTTGTTTGCTTTTTTTTTTTAAGTAGGAGATTAGACAATATGAAAACTAGATGTTTGTTTATTTTTTTTTTGTTACGTTTTTCTTTACTTCTTCGAAGGAGGCGATTAAATTATTTACAGTCTATATGCCAAATTTCAACAGTCTACATAGAACAGTTAAGACTTGCAGATTTTTTAAATGTTCGGCACGACCTCTGATCGGACGATAGAAGGGCTTTACACCAGAACCTTCGAGGATATAGTAGTAAAAGCAGGCCAGACGACATACGAAGAGAGTGAAGTTATTAGTTGCAGAGGTCATAACATGAGCAGCTGCAGAGAAAGCAAAAAAGAAAAGCTTGACTTGAATTGAGTTGGTTGAAGGTCTATGCGTCACTAGGATATCAAGGGTAGAAAAATGCCATGTAATCAAATAGTCGCAGTTCCAACTTCATAGCAAACGGGGCACTCCAAAGCTACTCCGACTGGTGCTTTATTAATATCCTACCCAACAAAGGGACAATCCACGGCTCACCGGACAGTCTGTTATTTCAGGGGATGGTAGATAGGTTGCATGCAGTCGTGGGACCTAGTCTGCATGCAGTCGTGGGACCTTGGCTGCACTCTATCATAGGACGTAAGTGGGTTGGGATAGGGCCAGTTCTAGATGTTTTGTGGTCGTTGAAAGCATCAGAAAGCCGGGAAACCAAGTCTTAACCACCCTCTAAAATATTGGACTATCCTGTGACGTCATCAGGGGTAGGATATTAATAAAGCAGCCTCCGTTTATTTGACAGGGTAAACTACACATAATGCCCGTCATAGCCACGCATGAACCAGCGGCATACACCCCCATGTAATGCATGAAGTACCCCATCAGAAGTGCCAACACAAACAGTCTGACACTAACAATGTATTTCATTGTCGACGGAATCAGCCGTTTCATCAGATCAGTAGTTGCACACGCATTTAATCGCAGAAGACACCACACGTTTTCTCTGGAAGAAGATGTAAAAGCAAAAAAATGTATTGTCACCAAGGAATAAATAGTTTATTCTAGTGTGAAGTAAAATCTTATTTTGTTAATTCTCCCAATTTCTCAATTTTTTTTTGTAGGTAGCAGTGGAGTCACGGGTCAGCACGGCTTGTACCTCTAGTGCACAATGTGCCTCCACTCAGTGCTGCTTGAAAAGTAGTAAATCAAGCGGCTGTGCTGCGCGGATAGGTGTCGGCGGTGGTAAGTCCACTCATTGTGCATGTGCGTGTGTGCGCGCGCGCTCCTGTGTGTGTCGTAATCACAGTTAAGGCTTGCTGTAGGGGACATTAGAGTTATCAACGACTCCTAAACCATGAAGCACCTGAACTTAAGGATCTCCCCCCCCCCCCCCAACCCCCCCCCCCCTTTTCCAATCCTACTACAAACACGCCCCACAGAGACTTTTTTTTTAAACCGGCCTGTAAATTTTGTAAACAAGAATCAAACCTAAGATTTCGGAACAAGGAAAGTGTGTTCACCAGTGTGATGTTGTGTTATCTTTATGCTCTAGTTAAACACCTTGATGCTACAGATGTCTTTCAGATCAGATGGAGAAGACACATATATAATGACTTGAAACCAATTGAGAGTTTCTGATCTTTAATATAGATCCAACAGTAAAGTTGTCTAGTCGCTGTCTCCTGTTCCCACTCGTCGTACTGGTAAATTTTTACTTTACAAGCACACGGTGTTCAGTTGTTACACTGCATCACAGGGTTTCCTTCCTTTCAGACGACGGACACTCGAAGGACTTGCATCTCCAACACGGCGCTCTAGTTCTTCACAGTCGTTCAGGGCAGTAGTCACGCTAGCTCTTTTCAGGCATGCATCCTCAGGATCCAGAAACTTCTTCACACAGTCGTCAGTCACGGTTCATAGCAGGCACACTGGACTATCCAGTCTGGTCGTAAACTACCACACAAAAAAACTTGATCATCTCTCTCACCTTTAAAACTCTCTCTGGTTTCCACAGGCGATTACATTCCATAGTTCATCAAACATGGAAATTTGTTAGGATTCCTTTCTCGGTTTCTATTCACTTGACTGAGCATTGACCCTCTTAAGTCATATAGGGAAACCCTCGGGAAATCCCCTCATACTTAAGCGGTGAAAACGATCTTTCAGAAACAGTATTTCCACTTCCACTTATAGTTTGTCGGCTCTGTGGCTAAGTCGATGCGTAAGCTTCGTAATGCGGGCCATGCGACTTGCTTTGGTTTCGACAGTTTTTATAAGGAGTAGAAAATTATAGGGAAGAGAAAAATTTGGTAAGAAACAACAATTAGTTTATGTTAGCTTTACAAAATCGATCACAAGGACGTAAATTTGCCTAGAAAAAAAAAAAACACAACAGCCAGAGGCTGTCACAACAGGGGCTGTTGTGGTTGGTTCTGCAACTAACCTTATAGTTTACGACGCATTTATATTGACAAGTTTTTTTTTTTGTGGGGGGGGGGGGGAAGGAACAGTGAGAAAAGGGGCGGGGGGGTATGTCGTTAATAGGGTTTAATGAAATAGGATGTGGTAGACCGAAAGACGCAGATATCACAGCCAAGCTGTAAATCACAACACAACTCACCAGCCGCCGTTTAAAAGGCAATAATGACAATATTAGTAATAATTACTATTATTATATTCTTCTTATTTTCTCTACTCCTGGAATGCCTCGCAGCGTCTGTGCAGACAGTGATATATGGGAGTGGCCCGTGCAGACAGTGATATATGGAAGTGGCCCGTGCAGACAGTGATATATGGAAGTGGCCCGTGCAGACAGTGATATATGGAAGTGGCCCGTGCAGACAGTGATATATGGAAGTGGCCCGTGCAGACAGTGATATATGGAAGTGGCCCGTGCAGACAGTGATATATGGAAGTGGCCCGTGCAGACAGTGATATATGGAAGTGGCCCGTGCAGACAGTGATATATGGAAGTGGCCCGTGCAGACAGTGATATATGGAAGTGGCCCTTCTGTTAGCTTCATATAAACTAATTTTCAGTGTCTCTGATATTTCTGCGGCCCGTGGAGACCTTGTGGATCTGTTACCATAACAACAAAATAATAATAGTAATCACGAAAATAACAATGGGGATAATAGAAGGAGAATAAAAAGACTTTAAATATATTATTGTGTTTTTACATTGTACTGCAGAATGCTACGTGAGCAATGATTCACTGCTGAGCAAGTTCGCAACTAGCGTGTTTACCAACGCCTGCCCGTGTAAAGATGGGTATATTTGCCAAAGAATTAGTACCTTGAGTCCCAAGGGTAAGCATAATAAATTCCTTTGTGTTTGTACTGTATTATTCCCAGAAACTGGTTCCGGCGTCCAGCTGTGGAGAGGAGGGGGGGGGGGGCGTGGGGTTGTGTGACCCACATTGACTTAATAAGCATGTCGAAAAAGGCGATTAAGTATATTTTGGGTTAAAAATCCAATGTGGTGGGCTGAAAGAGTTTGCATTGCTGGGTGCTAAATATGAGGGCTTAGCGCTTATGGGAATCTCATGAGTGTGGTAATCTTGAACTTAAACTCAAGTCAACATCTTAATTACTATCTTTTTGCCACCAGATGTGATCAGTTACTCATTGACGCAGCCTAGCTGTAAACCACAATACATGCGCCAACAGAAATTGCAAAGGCAAACATAGAAGAAATAGTGTTTTACTGGTGTATTTTCCAATGAGGGTTCCGGAGCTGCATTTGTGATAAGAAAGGATAGACCACGGTTTCCTATCAAGCATGACGTAAGAGGCCATTAATTAGGGGTGTTGCCGTCAAAATCAGAAGGTATTTGCTAGAGAGGTAAGGAAACAACAGTCTGCATTCAAACAGGTCATACTTGTAAAACGGAGATGCACGAAAAAAAATGCAATTCTGCAACAGGACCAAAGTCCAGGTGTTAAAGGCCAACAAGGAACTTTCACCGGAGTTTACAGAGAAGAAGAAGATGAGTAATGTGTTTTTCACTCAGAAAATAACTACATGTACACAATGTATTTTATTTTTTTTTTAGTTTGGATAATTCTAGTCGTTAATAATACGGAGAGTGGTTTTGCCTCTCGCCTTGTACTCTAAATGTCATGAGTTTGTTTTTGGACTCTATCGTTCAGCTCATGAGCGCAAGTGTGCTTCGCATACTTTGGGATCATCACTGGAGATGGTGTGTTGGGAAATGAGCAGGCAGATAGACTGGCTGGGCCAGCACCACTTGGTGATGAATTAATGTATAACAAGCTATATATTGTGAGGCCCTTTGGGAGCGAGGGAACAGTGCAGAGGCACAGATAGATCATTAAGGTTTTAGGAGAATGACGCTGCGAGGATTTACCAAGGGATCTGGCTGACTCTCAACGCTAAGGGCAAGAGCGAGATGCATATACAATCAGACAGTTACTGGTGGCACTGGAACTGCAACTCTTCGTTTGCTGCTGAAGATGCGAACGGAGCGCTTATGGAGGTCTCCTGAGTGCTCTGATGTCGATTCTTAATTCAATATTTAAAATATATTGCTGTAAGTGAAAGGGAAACCCATGCTCACACTATTATTAATAATATCAAACTAAAAATGGCCCTTTTTATCCCAAAGGCGCACTTTCCTACCCAATGGTTGTGTCTATACAACAGATAAACATCAATGCACAAGTGCAAAAACTTATAAGTGCTCCGTTCTACTTTGAACTCAAACCAACCTAAATCCAAAGAATCTCAGAGTAGTGCACGAACACCGTAGCACCAGCGAGGCTCCTCAATTACCTTAGGAAGATTTTTAACTCAAAATTTTGCCTGGGCAGCGACGATAGGCTACTCTTTTCGATTTACAACTGCCAAGGGATTTTTTCGTTCACATTATTACACACGGGCGTCTGGTCTTGCTACCCAGAGATTGGGGGAACCAGTAAATCCAGGTGAAAAAATCCCAGCCTTCACTAGAGATTGAACCCCGGACCTCCAGCACTCGAGGCGGGCGCCATGCCTCGAGACCACGCAACCCCCTTTTAATTCTTTGTGGTGGTCGAACACTGCTCCCTCTTTCTTAGTAACATGTCTTTATCTAACGCTCTTTCCACTTCTCTCTGGCGCTTGATCTGACCAGAATATTTGAGTTTCAGATGATGCTTACATTCAAATATTTCTTCAGATGTTCAGATATTTTAGGATGTCACAGTGTCCTTTCTTCTCGTTCCATGGCATTCTGTCCTAGCTTCGGAATGACACTTAAAATATACTTACGATTACCTGATGTAGTGTGTAACTTTGGTAGTCACCTGCAGCCTGAAGTTTGTGGGTGGTCCAATTACCTGACCATCCACACCTCCACCCCCCCCCCCCCCCTAACTACCTCAATAACTCTGGTCGACCATGCCTAAATGTTTACAAGGCAAAGTTCTGGAGAGGAAAAAAAAAGACGGTCAATGGTATGTTGACTAAATAAGTCGCATTTATAATAGGTCTTTTACTATATTTCTATGGGCATGAAAATGATGATTATCTTTTCCAGGTGTCTGTGAGGCCAAAACTGGCGCTCGCTACCCAATTCCAGGGAAATAACCCGTGTTGCTAAAAGAAGAAGACGCCAACGATTATTCATATACTGTAGAACATTTGTGATAAATTCAGACAACATCGTTGGCATTTTGATTATTCTCAATTAAATGCATTTTCAAGTCTTTTGTTGTAACTTTGCACCATTGAATTCCTGTTTGAAAAAGGTCAACATGAAGTATTAGCAATACAAAAATGTAAACGAAATAGGCACCCCAGAGTGGAGTTTAACATTGTAGCCTTTTTAGTGCTTTCCCAAACTAACTGTAAAGAACAGGTCACTTTTCCACGTTTTTAGGCGTATTGGGTATACATGGCTAGACCTATATTTTTAAAGACCAATCGGCTCTTGGTGGGTGATGTGGTCGGCCCCACGCCGGCCGCCTTTACTTCCAAGTACCCCCTCAAGGCTAGGTTGACCTGGGAGCCAAGGTCATTATTTTTAATGTCTGGCTCCGCTACGGAGCAAACCCACAATCTTCTGAACCGCAGGCATGTGTCTAGCCGCTTCGCCACAGCAACTCCCCCATGACAATAAATGATACCTGATTTAGACCGGGTCGTCATGTGAGGCAAATTCATTTTCTGCACTAAATTTGTCAAATTTGGAATTCAACCCAAGGTCTATTATCCGCGAGCATCTAGTCATTGGTTTGACGCAGCTTTTACATCTGTATGTATTTCAGTTTATTTATATAAATATCATCATAAAACGAGTCATCACGGTCTTTCTTAAAGAAACTCCGTCTCTTGCCAGGTCTTCAGCCTAGTGAGCTTTCCTACAACAGATCAACATCGTGACATAAGGTATAACCCATAAGTGCTACGTTCTATTTCTAACTCTATTTGCTACTGGTCCATGTGCGAAACATCTAAGCGCAGTGCACGAACTCCGTAGCCCCAGCGATGGTCTTAAATTAATTTAGGTAGATGTATAGCTCAAAACTTTGCCCAGGCAGCACCTTCGGCTACGCCTTTTGATTTCCAAGTGCTAAGGGATTTTTTACGGACGCATCAATACACACAGGCATCCGATCCTAACACCCAGAGATCAGGGGCAAAAAACCCTGCCTTGATAGAGGATTGAAGCCGCTACCTCCAGCACTCGAGGCAGACGCCATGTCTCAAGATTACGCCGCCCTCTTTTATATCTTTGTAGTGGTCGAACCCTGCTACTTCTTTTCTGGTAACATATGAGGTGCTAACGCTCTTTCCACGTCTCTGTGGCGCTTAATATGGCCAAAATCTTCGAGTTTCAGATGTTGTACTTACCAATATTTCCTCAGAAATTCAGATCTTTCGGGATGTCATAATGTTCTTTCCTCTTGTTCCATCTTATTCTGTATAAGTTTCGAAATTGTACTTAAAATATACGTACGATTACCCTTTGAAGTTTGTAACTTCGGGAAGTCGCCGTGAAGTAACAATCAGCCACTTGCCTGCAGCCTGAACATTGTGGATCTAATTAACCCCAACTCCCATACTCCCCCCCCCCCTTTTCTCCCTGTCCTCTCACTCAAAATTTCTGGTCGACCATGCCTAAATGTGTACAAGGCAAAGTCCTTGGAAATAAAGGTGGCCACCATTATGTTGACTAAATAGGTCTCATAAATAGGTCTATTACTATATTTCTATGGGCATGAAAATGATGCTTTTATTTTCCAGGTGTCTGTGTGATCAAAATTGCCCCACTCTACGCCATTCCAGGGAAATAAATCGTGTTGCTAAAAGGAGATGACATCAACGAATATTTATATACTATAGAAAATTAGTGATAAATACAGACAATATCGTTGACATTTTGATAATCCTCACATAAATACATTTTTAAGTCTTTTGTTGTCACTTTTAAATATGCAAAAAACACACTTGAATTTCTATTTCAAATATGTCAATATGAAGTATTTATTGCCTTTCATGTACCTACACAATTTTTCAGCAATATTCAAAAAGGTTAACGAAACATGCACACCAGACTGCAAGTTACATTTATAGCATTTGTAGTGCTTTCCAAAGTTACTGTAAAAAGCAGGTCACTTTTCCGTGCCTTTACGGCTAGACCTATATTTTTATAGACCAATCGGCACTCTATGGGTGATGTGGTCAGCACCACGACGGCTGCCTTTACTTTCCGGGACTAGACGCAATACTAACACTAGGGTGGGTTGACCAGGGAGCCAAGATCATTTGTGAAAAATGTCTAGCTCCGCCACAGAAGAAACCCACAGACTTCCGAACCGCAGGCCAGTGTCTAGCATCTACGCCACGGCAACTCCCCCATGACAATAAATGACACATTATTTAGGCTGGGTTGTCATGAAAGCCAAACTCATTTTCTGCACTTCTTCTTCTTCTTCTTCACTTCCTCTTTTACCGCTGTGGGTGTCGAGGGAGATATAAGATTCTGTTTCTAGCTCTTCTGGCTGCCTCGACCATAGGCACATCGTGCTGTTGTAGAGTTTCTCTGATGTTATCATTCCATATTGTTCTTGGTCTACCCCGTGCTCTACGTCCTTCTTCTCTTTCCATGTATGCTTTGTATGGTATGGTGTCACAAGCTATTCCCTCTAAGTGGGCAAACCATTTCACTTGCTGTCTTTGTATGTAATCCAGAATTGGTTCTGTGCCGACTTGTTCTCTTATGATCTCATTCCTGATCTTATCTCTTATGGTCACTCCTACAGCTCTTCTCAGACATCTCATTTACTAATTGTCTTTTATGGTTTGTTGTGAGTGACCATGTCTGGCACTGGTAGCACAGAGTTGGAATAAATATGCTTTGAATAAGATGTCTCTTTGTGCTGATTGGGATTGTCTTATGCTGTAAGAGGGGGGCTAGCTGGCCCAATACTTGGTTTGCTTTACTGCATCTAATATCATTTTCTTTATCCAATTTCCCATCTTCGGTATTTTGATCAGTCCGTTTATATCTCATTTTGATTTCTGCAGCGGTAATAAATCCATTGCCGGCTTGCTAGGCCTGTCGCAACTTCACCATTTTCTGCACTTAATTTGTCAAATGTGGAATTCAACCCAAAGCCTATTATCTGCGAGCGTCTAGTCGTTAGTTTGTCGCAGCTTTCACATCTATATTATTCCAGTTTATTTGTATAAATATCATCATAAAGCGAGTCGTTTGCAGAAAGTCGCACTGATCACCGTCTTTCTGAAAGAAACTCCGTCTCTCGCAAGGTCTTCAGCCTCGTGAACTTTCCTACAACAAATCAACATCGTGGCAGAAGTTATAACCCATAAGTGCTCCGTTTTATTTTTCAAGCCTGAGTCCGATAAATCTCAGCCCAGTGCGCGAACTTCTTAGCACCAGCGAGGGTCCTGAATTACTTTACAGAGATTTTTAATTCAAAATGTTTCCCAGGCAGCGCCGTTGGGCTAATTTTTTTTTTTTTCGATTTCCAAATGCAGAGTGATTTCTTTTACCGGTGCAACAATACACACAGGCATTCGATCTTACTAACCAGAGATCAGGGGGAAACAACAAGAAAGTCCAGGTATTAAAATCCCAGCTTTCATACTAGATTGAACCCGGACCTCCAGCGTTCGAGGCAGACGCCATGGCAGCCCTCTTTCGTAGTAACATTTCTTCTGCTACCACTCTTTCTACTTCTCTGTGGCACTCGATATGGCAAACATTTTTGAGTTTCAGATGTTGTACCTACCAATATTTCTTCATAAATTTAGATCTTTTGAGACATCAGTATGTTCTTACCTCTTGTTCCATGATATTCTGTTAAAGCTTCGGAATTGTACTTAAAATATACTTCCAATTAACTCATGAATTATGTAGCTTTGGGCAGTCGCCGTGGCATACCATTTAGACACTTGACTGCGGCCTTAACTTTTTGTGTCCAATTACCCCCCCCCCCCTCTTTCCCACCCCGTCTCACCTTTAAAAACTCTGCTCGACCATGCCTAAATGTGTACCAGGCAAAGTCATGGGAAATAAAGACGGTCACTGTTATGTTGACTAAATAAGTCGTATACATGGGTCTATTACTATATTTCTTTCGGCATAACAATGATGCATATCTTTTCCAGGTGTCTGTGTGGCCAAATTTGGCTTTCGCTACGCCATTCCAGGGAAATAACTCGTGTTGCTATAAGGAGATGACGCCAATGATTGTTCATATACTATAGAAAATTGGTGTTAAATACAGACACTGTCGTTGGCATTTTGAAAATTCTCACATAAATAAAGTCTTTTGTTGTCACTTCGCCAAATGCCAAAGACACACCATTGAATTCCTGTTCGAAATAGGTCCACATGAAGTATTTATTACTTTTGCAACACCTACATAATATTTTTAGTGATGTTAACATTTAAAAAAGTTAACGACCACACTAGACTGCATGTTACCTTTGTAACCTTTGTGTGGTTTGCAATAGTAACTGTAAAGAAAAGGCCCCTTTTCCACGCCTTTAGGCGTAATGGGAATCTAGGACTAGACCTATATTTTTATAAACCAATCGGCACTTGGTGGGTGATGTGGTCAGCATCACGCCGGTCGCCTTTACTTCCCTGGACTGGAACTGTTACCCATTTAAGACTGGGTCGACTTTGACGTCAAGGTAATTATTGAATACAAAGTCCGGCTCCGCCAGGACGCGAACCCACGACCTTCCGATAGACAGACGGGCGTCCAGCCGCCAAATCCACGGCGACTCCCAAAAGTAACTGTGCCATATTGTTATACAGCCGAACCGGGTTTCCCAGATTTGTACTTGTTCGATTCTAATCCTTGAGATGTAAATTCTACAGACTGCAGTACTGCAGGGGAAACACTGTTTTTTGGGTTTTTTTTTACTGGTATGAAAGGCCAGCCAAGTCTGATAATAGGTTACTATGTGGTCGTCGGGTACTGCAGTATAACTGTTCTGAACAAGACTTGTGGGATTTGACTGACTGACTGACTGACTGACTTTCTACCCCACTAGGATATCACACAAGCGATAAACACCTGATGACACAAAGTGCCACCGTGTGGATGGGGATCACCGTGGAGAGGTCCCAGAAACCGCTTTTAGACAATTGGCCATATTTATGGCCTGCCTATATTGCGGGCTCTGGCAAAAGCCAGGGTGGGCCTTTAAATAACAACAAATTTCGTCCTAAAAAGGACGTAAGGAATATGTGGGATTTGTAGCTGGGAGGATTTTATAAGAAGAGTGCCTTCTTTAGGCATAACGTAATAATCGCTCAGTATACACCCGTAGCGGAGTTCAAATTCACCCATTCACATATTCATATACGATTTTCCCGAAAGGTGTTTTTAGCTTAATGCCAACGATTTTGTTTCGACAACTTTATCTAATTTTTTTTAGGGTACAACTTACGTTTTTGGACCCAAACAGACCCTGACTGGCCGTTCATTTATAAACACGACTCTCTGCTACAGGGGTGTCCGGTTGAAGTTTCTTCCTACCCTGTATTTGGCAATGTTCTATATATTACACGGTGTCGCCGCTTTTAACAACTTCAGAAGATCTACAACTGGCCCTAATCCCAAACCCCCTACCCCACAGCCTCAGCCTCAGTCCCAGAAGAGACTGCAGCATACGTCCCGTAGTTTCAGAACTGTCAACATTTTCCAGTGGGCCGTCTTGCTGCAGAAAACCAACGCTGGTCTAAATGTCAATCGTCAACGCTGACAGCTGAACTACACACATGTCCTACTTCAAGTCTCTAATCTGCGCAGCAATATCGCCGACAGCAGTAAAACATAATGTGTACATCGACGCACACAATATGCATAGCACACAACAGCGTCACACTCCCGTTAGTTGGACTAGCGCGTGTGAAAGGTCAGCGACCATAAATGAACGACCAGTAACGCTGTATGGACCCCCACAACTTTAATAATATAACCGTTTTTTTTTTTTAATCTGCCTTTGGACAAGGACAAGAACTTCCTCATTTTGTGTGTGACCAGGTTATTAGACAAGATGACCACAGTAACACAGAAAAAATTAAGTTTATCTTGCAAAAGATGAGGTCGACATTCATCCACGTTAAGTACACTGACTTTGTTGTGTGACTTTTCAGTGTGTCAAAATATGATAGCGACATTCTTTTTGGTAAAATAATCGCGGTTCGAAAAAGAAAATTGCAATTGTTTTTTTTTTTTTAAATTACAGATGAATCACTCCCCTAATTTTTAAAGCTGCATCATTGTAAGGGCAAGTAGGATGTTTCGTTTACATAAACGGACTTAATACTCACATAAATATAAGATTGGAAGGAAACATTTAATGTAACCAAGTCAGAGGTAAACTGCGACTCAAATGGAAGAAAATTTCAAGAGATGGTCAAACAGCAGTTTCAAAGAGTGAACAGCTGGGAGAAAAGATAGAGCGCATTGGTGATCCCTTGAAGCAAACCGTCACTGCGGAGAAAAAGAATGACAACATACAAAATTACGCAAGTCAACAGGAAAAAAGAACAACTTGATACAAAAAAGAAAAAAAAAACTTTATCATGACACATACAACACAACAATAGCACGACACATTTAACAAGAAAAGAACACAATGAATAAGAAAATAACTAACGCGATACTTATAAATAAAAATAAAGCGACAGATATAAAAAGAAAACTGCATAGCACATACATACAAAAAAGTACCCCCCAAAAAAAAAATAATTTAGACGTTACATGTTAAAATAAAATAGCACTACACATAATTCGACATATTACCACACACATAAACAAGCCACATACACACACACATAATAATAATAATAATAATAATAATAATAATAATAATAATAATAATAATAATAAAGAAAAAGAATAATTGATAACATGACACACAAAAATAAAAAAAAATAAAAAAATAAATTAAATAAAAATACAATTAATTAATAACATGACACACACACACGAAAAAAAAAAAAAAACTTTAACATTACATTATTGGAGTATATGATTGAGGAATAATATAAAGAAACAATACGGTCAGGTGGTTACATTGTTTATATTTTTGCTACTGGTGGCAGAATTGGCTGGACAGGGGAATCGACCAGAACGGTTCCTATCAGAGAGGTTGAGCTACTGGAGTTGGTCGACTGTGCCAAGGGAGGCGTTCCTGCGGAATAAAAGAACAATCTGTTGTTAAGATGCAAATATTTCGTGTCAGTCATCGTCACCATCATAATCATCGTCATAATCATCATCATCATCATCATCATCATCATCACATCATCATCATCATCAGTATCAACTTTCAGTTTTGCTGTTCAGTTTCTTATGAAGGAACAGTTTGCGATCAGGCGCTCAGTGGAAGGCACTGGCTATTGTAAATCCGTGTGAAGTTATCAGAGAAAGATATAAAACTGTGCGAAAGGTATATCAACGAGCTTTACAATAAAATAAACACAAACAAAACATGAACGTTGCGGCTATTGAGTCTTCTTCTGCACATACAAACATAGGCTATATTACACTAATACACAATATCACTTATTTTCGTATCTCGAGGCAGACAGGTCGATGCCTAGCGAGGCTCTTGGGACCGGGAAAATAAACGTTCCAGGAAATGACACGGTTGTCACTCGAGGATAAGATGAACCTGTGTAGGCATTTCAGCTCCCTAGGATTTGGATGAAGCTTTGGTGACAGTTTAGTCCACTGGGCGCCAGAGTTCCTAAAGTGTATATAAAGCAATTTTCAACAGACTTCGGCGTGTTGAATTTAACGCCTTTGATATCATAATGCTTCTTCTCTTTAGCGCATATTGTTCTCAAATGTTATCTTTAAACTCCTTCAGTCGCAGAAGAGGGCAATAAAGAATAACTGTAAGCCTTTAAGGTATATATATTTTTTAAACATACAATGGGTCTACATGTCTGCATCTCTAACTCCTAATGGAGCATAGGCCCTCAACCAAGGCACGCGAAGTCGTTCTATCCTTTGCTATCGCATGCAGCTCTCGCCATGTCATCCCCATTTTTTAAACTTCATTCTTCAGCTCCCTTCTCCACGTGTTTTTTGATCTTCCATTATTTCTATGCTCCCTGTGGGTTCCCGTGCACAGACATTCTAGTTATATTGTTCTCAGGTTTTCTCAGCATGTCTCCTATCCAGCGTCAGCGTCTTTTCTTCACCGCTTGGTCAACTGGAACTTGTTTAGTTTTCTTCAAAAGCTACATTAGTGATTCTATCGTACCATTTAATTTCCTGTATTCTACACAGACACTGTTAATGAATGTTTATAGTTTAGTATTAATGGTCTTAGCTGTTCTCTATATTTCCACTCCATACAGCAGTACTAATTTGACATTAGAATTAAAATTTTTATGGGTACCAACAATAATGTATAGTGTCAACACACTCTGTGTTGTCTAGTATAGATGGGGCCATTTGACTGCACCCAGTGCATTGCTTCTGTGTCGAAAAGATACTGCGAGCAGTTAAAGATACTCCGAGCAGTTGTGTGTGTGCAGTTATGGTTAATCTGTGTCAGTTTGTGTTGTTAATCTTCTTCCTTGCTCTCACGTGGGAAAAGTTCTAGGCACAAGATATAAGTGACACCTTGGGTAAGACAATGCCGGAGGCGCAAAACCTGGCGAGACACCGAGTTTCTTTCGGGTAGATCTTGAAGAGAGCGACGTTCTGCAAAAGACTTGCTACATGGAGATAATTATATCAATAAATAAAAATACATTCAGGTGTAAAAGCCACGATAAAGTAATGGCTAGACGCTCGTCTCACGGACCATAGGTGTTGGGTTCAATTCCACATTTGGCTGGATTAGAGGACAAAATGAACTTAGCTCCAAGGTCGACTCAGCCTAAATTATATATCAGTTATTGACATTGGAAGTAAAAGCAGCCGGCGTAATTTTTGACCAGATTACATGTCACGTTTTATCAACAGGGCTACAAAACATATTAGTCTATGATAATATGACCTATGAGCCCTGTCCTCTTTAGACTTATCCCAGAAGCTGAGTCTTGCGTGCACGCCCGCTTTACAGATCTGAATTTTTTAAAGAATGTAAACTGTTGATTCCTCGCCTATCATGCAAGTGCACTCTGACCTCGAAGAAAACACCTCTGATTAGTTGTTGCCTCTTACTAGATGGATATTTAGGAGCAGTGAGAGAGAGAGAGAGAGAGAGAGAGAGAGAGAGAGAGAGAGAGAGAGAGAGAGAGAGAGAGAGAGAGAGTCAAAGAAACATGAAATAGATGTCATTAACCTCCACTAGAAGGTGCTCCTCCTCCATAAGCCAACTTGATAGCGTTCATAGCCTGTTCAGTAATGGCAGCCACGGCAGCGTTGAACTGGGCGACCGACATAGCTCCAACGGATCCACCATCCACAGCTGCAGGTGTAGCAGCTGCGCCACCTGCGGAAGCCGCAGAAGAAGCTACGCTAGCGTTGTGGACCGTTGATGTGTTCGTCATGTTTGATAATGGAGAAAGTAAGACCATCGTCGAATCTGTGAACATAAAACCAAGATCAATGGTGATCAAAACAGGAAGAACTCCACAACGCAATGATCCTCGGCAGTAGTCTACCAGTCTTCAATAGGTGTCTTCCTTCAAAAATTATTTCAGCTCTTTTGCCTCCCTAATTCGGAACTCGAACATATCCGTTCGAGTCGGCTTTCGAATTCCAAATTGTTTGAATTCCAATACATTTGTTTTCCTATTGAAAATAATAGAAAGTAATTTAATCTGTTCCTAAGTCCTAGAGACTCGAAAAGTAAACAAATTTATTTTTTTCTGAAATACAGCACACTGTAAATACAGCACACTGTAAATACAGCACACTGTAAATACAGCACACTGTAAATACAGCACACTGTAAATACAGCACACTGTAAATACAGCACACTGTAAATACAGCAACAGACTGTGATCACACAAAACAAAAACATAACATTCTATTTACTGTAGCTTGATAACAATTATGACAGCACATGAAAGTAGGAGTAGGAAGGGGGATTTCATGAGATTATTGTTTGTAAGGGTAGTCACCTTCCATGATAAGACTGTGAATCTTTTGTCCTTCATTGTCCTTCAACTAATTATTTTTTCTGAAATGTTCCATTAGTGATCATTGTTTATTTAAATACCATATTCATCGCACTTCTGACATGACCATAAGTGCTCCGATCTCCTCCTGAGTATATTCCAAGTGTTCTTAGGCAAACAACTCGAATTCTGTTCTGGTAGGTGTAACGACGGGTGGCTCCTGCATCGTCTTCCGGGGTCACTGCTCTAACTGGTACACCCAGGGTATGCAGTCTATTCAGTGAACAATCATTTTCCACAATACTGAAAGCCACACAGCGTTTTGTCCTTCGTACGGCATTGATGTCCATAAATGGCCCATTCATGACAGCGCCACTGCCATCCAGAGCGTCTGCTCTCTCATTGCCTTTCACACCAGCATGCCCTAGTACACAAAATTGGGGTGATTTTGCGAAACGCTACGTACTGTATCAGAAGGAGCCACTGTTTCCGTATATGCCTTGACCTTCTGTAGCATGCACATTAAATCGCTGAGCGAACATGCACTGTATTGTTCGATAATGTTGTCGATGACTACCTTAATACACCAGTTAACTAGACCTCCATTAGTCTACCACCTCTTAACGACTTCTTGAGTTATTGATAATACACCAGTTAACTAGACCTCTATTAGTCTACCACCTCTTAACGACTTCTTGAGTTATTGATAATACACCAGTTAACTAGATCTCCATTAGTCTACCACCTCTTAACGACTTCATGAGTTATTGATAATACATAAGTTAACTAGACCTTCATTAGTCTACCACCTCTTAACGGCTTCTTGAGTTCTTGATAATACACAAGATAACTAGACCTTTATTACATTACCACCTCTTAACGACTATTGAGTTATTGATAATACACCAGTTAACTAAATCTCCATTAGGGTACCACCTCTTAACAGCTTCTCTAGATATTGATAATACACCAGTTAGGTAGATCTCCATTGGTCTACAACCTTCTAACAACATCTTGAGTTATTGATAATACACCAGTTAGGTGGATATCCATTGGGCTACCACCCCTTAACAACGTCTTGAGTTATCGACCACATGCAGTAAAGATCTTGTCTTTCACCGTTAAAATCTTTCCAGTTTCCTGCTCTTCATTTTCTGGAGTCGTTTCTTCTACTGCTGGTGAAGATGCTAAAGCTCCTGCCTTGTCCGCTTAGTGGCGTCGACGGCTCATGCTAGCGTTCGGTTTCCTATGCGGTATTCGAGTTTTGAGGCAAAGTTTACTCGAACATTTTGTCGTAAGCTGTTTGAATTCCGAGGTATCACAAAGCAAACACACACACACACACACACATGAATGGACTTTAAAAGATAACCTCAAACAGAAATTGCTATAGCCATACGATTGTCTTGTAAAATGCCAGTATTTTTGTCAAGGATATATAAGGTGTTTTCTGATGCAGCTGAAAATCGTTAGGTCACATCAACAGTGACCACTCCACTTTTGACATACACCAAAGAGGAGCAGCATTGTTGATCTGTGTTGTCGTTGTTGTCGTTTCTTGGATCAGTGAAAAAATGAAACCTGTAGACTTCTCAATCAATCAATCAATCAGGTGCCGTCTCCACAATGAAGGTTGGCTGCAATGGATCTCCAACAAGCCCTGTCTCTTGCCCTTGATGTACACTCACTCATACTGCTGTTCGTCCATCTCTTGATGTTATTCTCCCATTGTAACGCTGTCTGCCTTTTGCTCGAGTACCTTGAACCTTTCCCTCTAGGATGATCTTTACAATACTGTTGTGTCTTTTAATGTGGCCAAAATATTTCACTTGTCTCTTTTTTATTTCCCCTAGCAACTCTCTTTTCATTCCCAATTTCCTCAGTACCTCTGTATTTGATAGCTTTTGTTTCCATGAAATACAACCTAATCTTCTGTATATCCACATCTCCAAAGAATTGATACGATTTTCAGTAGACTTCTATGGTGGAATAAAGGTCGTGAGTGGTGATGCGTGTCTGTTTGCCTTGAAAGTCTGTGAGTGGAGGTGGGGGGGGGGGGGGGAGAGTGTATATATAACCGAGTGGCTTTTGTGACAAACAATACACCATGTGCTTGACCGGGTCGTGAGCAGTTGTGTGGTTATGTGTGTGTATATATATATATATATATATATATATATATATATATATATATATATATATATATATACACACACATATAAATACACACAGTTGGACCGAGGTCTTTCAAGTAACCATAGAACTGGGGTGCCGACACCACCCAGCCCCTCTCACCCCCTATTAAAAATATTTAAGGTGACAAAGCTCAGCCTTTGAACAAAAACAGCAGTTCTGTTCAAAAGTGTTTGCTGATATAGTTCATATAAATTCCTATGTGTTATCAGTTTTTGTGTTTTTGTGTTGTTGTTTTTTTTTAAAACAAATATTATTATTATTATTATAACATTAAAAACCTAGCACCTGCAAGCAGGTTCAAGTAAAACGTTTGAGATCGTATATATTTGCGGTGGTTGTGAGTCATGGAATCATACGTAATTTCCAAAGAAAAAAAATCGGAGCATTTGAACTGAAATGTTACAGAAAAATTCGGTGAAAACCACGGGGAAAAAATACTGTCACAGTCAAGAGAGAACATCGAAGAGAATTGGCACATAAACAGCATCCAGTCACACAAGCTGAGATATTTTGGCTACGTCAAACGTCATGAAGGGAGTAGATTATTGACAATGAGGCAGAGGCAGACCTCAGCGGAGGCGAAAAGGGGGGGGGGATACAAGAGAGTGAAGATGCATTGGCAATGAAAACACATATCGATGTTTCTTTGTTTTTTTGTTTTTGTATCCAGAAGCCATGAGTTGTTAACCCTTAGGCTCGGTATTATGGATATCGCAACCTTTCGGCCTTGATTCCACATTAAATACCGTAAATCTGGCAGAAATGTGGCTTTTCTGCCCACCCCCGGGAGTGAACCCGGACCACAGGGAGTTCGTCACCCGCTCACCGAGCAATCCGGTTTAGCCAACTACGCTAGACAGACGGGCAAACACATAGCGATAAAAAATTGGCTAGAGAATAGGGATTGACTGACTGACTTTCTACCCCACTAGGACATCACACAAGCGACAAACACCCGATGACACAAAGTGCCACCATGCGGATGAGGATCGCCGTGGAGAGGTCCCAGAAACCGCGTTCAGACATTTGGCCATATGTATGGCCTGCCTATATTGCGGCCCCTGGCAAAAGCCAGAGTAGGGCTTCAAATGACAAAAAATTTCGTCCTAAAAAGGACGAAACTGGATATAAAAATAGGGATTATTTAAGCATGCCGTGAAGAGAGCGACACTTTGTAAATGACTTTCTGACTGATTATTACTATTATTATTATTGTCATCATCATGGTTATTATCAGGGCTTTTTATTTGCTCAAAATAGCACTGTCTTCACCTCAAAGTGTCTTTAAAAAAGTGCCGGTACTCACCTAAATATATCTTTTACAGAATGGCTGATATGAAAGATGTGTAAGAAGGTGTCGGTACCGCGCACAGCTAGAAAAAGCGCGGATTGTCGCTGTTTTTAGCCTGTAAAGTAGAATTACGTCCCCTGAACCACCTGACCCTTATCCCCGTTTTGTGTGTGTTGTCTGTGTGTGCGTGTTTGTGTGTGTGTTGTCTGTGTGTGCTTGTTTGTGTGTGTGTTGTCTGTGTGTGCGTGTTTGTGTGTGTGTGTGTGCATTGAAAATGCTCGCTTGAATGGTGAATGAGACTGGTCGTTTTCTCTGAGTCACCACGCTTGCTACATCTGTTCTATTCGCTATCATCACCATCGAAACTTCTAGAAAAAAACATTCACACTTCAAAATGTAGATCTTACACACAAAAACAAAACTTATCGTTGACAACCAAAAAGCTGTGCTCCTTACTTGTTCCGTTGGAAACAACAGATGTTGATGGTGGGGCTGGTACATTCATTGGTGGTTGTGCTACACCATGTGCTCCAGCTGGGACATCTACTACTGGGCTAGTTGCCGGTGCACTTGATGGAGGAGGTGCTTTCGGCGTGTCTACAAGAACATAACGATAGCAGAAAATCGTCAAAGTTAAAAGGATTAAATAGATAAATATTACATTGGAATATTGAAAGTTAAGCAAACATGTACTGGGGATTGGGGGGAATGTAAAGAGAGGGAGAGATTGAAAGAAGGAGAGAGAGAGAGAGAGAGAGAGAGAGAGAGAGAGAGAGAGAGAGAGAGAGAGAGACTCAAAAGTAACAGAATTAGAAATGACAATACCGGGAAAGAAGTTGGAAAGGAACTGTACTAAACAACATCAAGAGACAAGAGATCAAATTGTTCGGATATGTATAAAGACTATCACCAGTTAGCGAGAAACGAAGAGTGCACCACATAGAGCTAAGCCAATTGTAAATAATGGAGCTAAAGGTTGACCACTCATGCAATACACAACTGGAATATCCGAGGCATAAATACCTTTATCTATGTAATACATACCAAAATTCACACCAGATAATTCTTCAAAAATATGACGCTAAAAGACAGAACAGCACTAGAGAAGACGATGCAGAAGAACTTATATAAACGTCTGAACAACAGCTGGCATTATACAACAAAGGTGCTACTGGTATTCTACAATCTTGCTAATTAGACACCTGGGCTTTTCTTTTTCATCTTCTATCATTATTAGACATTTACTTCTCGTCCTTTTTAGATGGAATTTTTCGTTATTTGAAGCCCTACTTTAGCTCTTGCCAGGAGCCGCAATATAGCCAGGCCATAAATATGGCCAATTGGCGAAAGGCGGTCTCTGGTACCTCATCCACGGTGATCCTCATCCACATAGTGGAAAATTGTGTCATCGGGTGTTTATCGCTTGTGTGATGCCCTAATGGGGTAAAAAGTCAATCAATCAATCTTCTATTATTTCCAAAAAAGGTATCAAATGAAACGAAAAGTAGAATCAGCAAGTTAAACATTATCACAAACACACACATAAAAAAAAACAAGTGAACGTTGTGGCAAAAAAGTTTTCCTCAACACATTACATTAATATGCAACACCACAAGGACGAACAAGAATACACAAGATGATTTAACTGAAACGTCTCTGATCGGAATCACATATATGTCTGGCTAGCTGAATCTCTGACACGTTTGTGACCACCGGAAATAAATACTAACTAGAAAAAAAGCTGTGAAGACAAGGTTAGTTACTCAGAAATATTAGCCTGAACCGTGTTGGATGTGAAGTCCCCATTAGATAAATTAAGCGGTTCTCGAGAGAATTCATGTCCTTTGACCTTTCACATCAAGGTTTCTTTTGTACGTCGACGTTTCCTGTTTCTATATTTCCTCATTTCAGTGCCTGCTTTGTGACTGTCTGCTGTCTTTTGTATACTCCGTTCACAATCGCCCTGTTGTGCCATTACGTGTACATGGAGCTAATATTATATAGTTAGGTCTATATCAAGAATGGTATCCAGTACATCTCACGTGGCCTCTCATTTCGACGTTTCTATTCGTGTTCTTTTGGATGCCCACGTTTGCTTTATCAGTTTTGTTTCCCATTTCCTTGTCTGTTTGGTGACCTTTTCTTTTCGGAATGTTCCCAACATTGCTCCATATTTTTATTATTATTATTACTGTTGATTTTAGTAGTTCCCTTTGCACTAATATTAGATCGTCATCTTATTGTTTCAGTACATCCCATTTATGTTCACCAGTGTCTTTAGACAATTGCTTTTATCTAACCAGAGGGGAAAAAAGGTGGGTAATTAGGTAGACAGGTAAACAGACTTGCTATTTGACATACAGGCACGTGGGAAACATTTTTACAATAGAAACAAAAAAAAAAAACAGGTTTACATTTAAAAAAAGAAGGAACTAACCTGGTGTGTCAGGGCTTTCCATGTCCCACATCATTGGCATTCCAAACATACCCATTCCGCCCATTCCACCCATTCCGCCCATTCCACCAAACACTGGCAAAGAAAGCATCTGGTGGTTAATTTCTGATAAAGTTTGACTTTTATAATAAAACGTTGTGCTAATAAAAAACGTTGTGCTGTTATAAAAAGTTGTGCTATTATAAAACGTTGTGCTATTATAAAAAGTTGTGCTAATATAAAACGTTGTGCTATTATAAAACGTTGTGCTATTATAAAACGTTTTGCTATTATAAAACGTTGTGCTATTATAAAACGTTGTGCTAATATAAAACTTTGGGCTATTATAAAACGTTGTGCTAATATAAAACTTTGGGCTATTATAAAACGTTGTGCTAATATAAAACTTTGGGCTATTATAAAACGTTGTGCTATTATAAAACGTTGTGCTATTATAAAACGTTGTGCTATTATAAAACTTTGTGCTATTATAAAACTTTGGGCTATTACAAAACTTTGTGCTATTATAAAACGTTGTGCCTTCTCCACAATGAAGAAGATTGGCAGCGCATGTTTTAATAATTCAGTACTGTTCTTGGGGAATAGGAAGTGACTGTGTTCTCGTTCCCTCCAAAAAATGCTTCAGTAAATACTTTATTATATGCTTCTTAACTATCTGCCTTACTGAAGATCATGTATTACAATTCGCGCCTTGTAATGGGATTTTGCTTTCATTTAGGTGATCTCCCAATTCCAGCTTGTCTAAAATGTACATATGGAAATGTTCTAACCATTACTGTTAGTTTTAAACCGCCTGCAGCACAAGTAAGACATACATAAACTCATAGCACATGATTGCCATTTGTGTATAAGTATTCAAACTCACATTTTTTTTCGGGGTGGGAGGCGGGTGGGGTGGGGCGGGAGATAATGCAATACCTTAATCAGTTGTTAAGTCTCGCTGCCATTAGATCCTACAAGTATGTCAGACTTTTATAAAAGATAGTGATTGGCACCTTTCCGTCTTTCCAGACTAAATCTTATATTGTGCTATTTGGAGGCATGGGACACATAGTCCATGGCGATGGCGAGTGTGACGAGCAAAACCCGCCCCTATTAAGAAAAGTCTTCCACAATTACAGCATGGGATTTCAGGACCATTGTTGTCAACATTTGTGTTTAGTCTGTTTCTTCTCAGACGCCACTCAGCTCTCATCCTTTCTGCTATCATTTCTTCTTTCATGCTAATTCCATTCCTGATTTGCCCCCTTCACAAACTCCGGAACTTGACATTTTGTTCGCACGAGTTTACAACAACAACTGCATTATTAGATGCTTATTAATATAAGAAAAGAAGGAGCCCAAAGCAGATACATCCTTGTTCTCTTTTACTGTTAATTTATATTGGATGTATTGTTCGTCCATCAGAAGTGATGAGGGACACTCTTTTTTTCCTCCGTCATGATACTAGTTGCTTGTCTGTGAACCCGAGGTGACTTATAAGAGTAAAACGAATCCGGAAGAATATAGGACAATGAGGACAGTGGCATTGTCTGTACATAGCAGACCCGTTATAGTGTCTTTCTAGTCTGTCTTCGCTGTTCAGCTGCCCAGTTTCTAGATGCCTCGCAGGTGGCTGGGCCTCTTTCTTTAGATATTTGTCGTCTTGTTGTCCGGTTTTGTGGCGCAACCTTCCGCTTGTCTGGATGTATATTGAAATTATTACATGAATCAAGAACTCACATCATTGTACACGGGACATTCTCTTACGTACTCCGCTAAAAAGAGGATCTGATGCAGGCAATCTCTCCGTTCCCATGTGGAATTCAATTTTTCGTTATTTTAAAGCCCCACCGTGGCTCTTGCCAGGGGTCCTAATATAACCCAACCTGTGGATTGAAATGGGTTTCTGGGACCTCTCTATGGGTGATCCTCATCCGCATGATGGCACTTTGTGTCACCTAGTGTTTATCGCTTGGTGTGATGTCCTAGTGGCGTGTAAAGTCAGTCAATCTATCGAAGATATGATGAAAAAAATTGTCTTAGAATCTCATGAACTTATTGCAAAAGAGCATCCTTAACTCCAGCTGGTCTTGCTAGACAGTGCTCGCTACTTGCGTGCACTGTGATTCCCATCCACGCCTAAAGCTCAGTTAAACACTATCGCCTAGAAAAAAAAAGAAATGTGTTTAGTATCGCTTTTTTAGCGTACACCGGGGCCAAGCTACCAACCCAAACCGACACAATTGTACCACACAATAACAAATGACAGATAGAAGCACTGTGAGGCTCCACCGAACATTTCACACACATCTGCATGACATGACTAACCCGTTCTTATTGCAGGAAGACAACTATAAGACCACAATGGTCACACGTGGAATATTTCCACATTTCGGGTCTATCGAAACCGAAAAACTGTTTTCAGTACTTTTCGGTAAAGTAAAATACTCACAATTTTAAAACTATAAATGATAGCGGTCTGACGTGGAGGAAAGAAGCATTAAGCTCAGAGACGGTACAAATACCAGAACTTTAGCCACGAAAGTGGCGCAAAAAAACAAGACCACAAATATAGCCGGAGAGTGTTGGCAGCTTCGGCTAGGTAGCATCAGGTTGAACGTGGTTCAGTGAGTTTTTGATTTTTTCTTAAAAGAGATTGGAATTGGGACATGATTTGTCTTGAAAGAAATTAGCTGTATTGAGACAGAAATTACTGTTTTGAGAAATATCAACTTACACAAAAATCTGATTATCGCCGCCTCAGAAGTTGATAATCCACATTTTCAAGCATATAGAAAAGTTTCAATACATTCAAAAAACAGGAGGGAAACAGGGGGGGGGGGGGGGGGGAGACGGAGGGAGTAAGAAGAGATAAATTTAGGAAAAGTTGCGATGTTTATGGGTGTATAAGACCCAATTTTTTTTTAGTTCTCAAAATCGGTCTTAGTATTATTCTGCGTCCTATACAACGAATACATGTCTACACGTACCGTTCTGTTTCATTGTTCCACGCGATATGGAAAGAGCGGCATATGCTAAAGAAAATGGCAACAGGACGAAATTACATTTTTTACTTCCACCGATTGGGGGGGGGGGGGGGGGATATACAACTCATAAAAATAAACGACAATCATTGCAATGGTTGGTTCACATATAAAGAGTGTCAGATAAAACATTTGAAAATCGCGTACACAAAAGTATTGAATGGGAGAGACTACAAGGTAGACCAAGAAGACAGTGCATAGGTAATATCCAGACAGACCTACAGACACTTGGAGTCGCCGTCTGGGCAGAGAAGGCTAATCACAGAGATGAATGGGCGAGTGATATCTGCAGCGATGAGCACCAAATAGCTATCACACACACACACACAAACAACGAAACAGGAAGGTCAGACAACATAACTTTCGCAAGAGGTTGACGATGCCTTCCAGGAAAAGAAGCTGGTGCTAGCGTCAAAAAGAGACTTGAATACAACTTGTGACAAGGTCTTGGGAGTACGTCTCATGAAGAAACAGAGAAACCTCAAAGTGAGTGGGGAATAGGTAAAAATGAGTGAAAGCATGCTTGTATAACAGAAGAGCCCGAGTACAGATAGACGGGCTCAAGAGCAAGAACGTTTTTCTGCACCATAGAGTGCCCCAAGGAGGTGTTCCTGTCCCCTACACTCTTTCTAGTCTATATCAACGACCTAGTGAACTACCCCACAAAATTAAAGCTGCAATGTATGCTGATGACTTGGGATTAAGGTGCACAAATGACAATGGATACTAGACTGCTACAAAGAGCCATAGATGCATTGGCTGCCTTGGCTGATAATTGGCATCAGTATCAAAATAGACAAATGTAACATAGCCCTCTTTACCCTCTCTCTCTCTATAACAAAAATCTGAAGTCATTCACATAAAAGGAGTACTTTTGAAAGATGATAAGGAGCCACATACCCCTAAGTCACATTTGGTGAAAAGTTAACGTGGAGAAAACACATGAACAAGGCAGCAACTAAAACCAAAAGGAGGGTAGCTATTATGAGAAAAATAAGTGGAACCACAGGGGGTGCTAGTGGGAAAATACTTAGGACAGTTTATCAACACAGTGTTCAACCACACTTTTAATACAGATCAACAACATGGAGTTCAGCATCAAAAACCACACTACAAGAGTCAGACAAAGTGCAAAATCAAGCAGTCAGAGTCTGGCGGTATGAAATCAACACCTATAGATGTGATGGAGACAATGGGGATGGCTCAAGCCCTGAGTGAACACAGAAACATCAAGATGCTAATACTTCACAGCCACATGTACACAACATTTAAGATGGCGAATCAGCCATGTGCAAAAGTGGACTGGCAACTGAGACAGCAGATCACGTCCTCCTAGATTGTTCAAAATACAACATTTCCAGGCAAAACTTCTGGTCAAGAAAGACAGGTGGAAGCCAGACTTTACGGACCGCTAAGTGAATTACAAAAGACACTAAAGTTCTTAAGAGATTTAGCATTGCAGATAGAGATTAGTTATTTCAAGCGAACGAAAGAAGAAGACGATAGAGGAAGAGGTGATACACTATATTAGGGACGGGTAAAGACAATCACACAACTGCTCTCTTTGGATGTGTAGTATCAGGCCTTCGAATATTCTGTGTCATAATATATGAATTAAGGTAACCAGTCCACGTTATCCACCACTTCCGTTGCAGACAATTTCCAGAAAACTCAATTTGGTGGAATACTTATGGTGAAAATATGGGTGTGTCTGCAGTCAAGCTAATACAAGGAATTCCAGAGAAATTTGACTTAAAAGCTCAACAAAATGAGGAAGCAGAAAAACATGCACAAAACAACACAAATAACGTAACGTTTCGGCCGGGCAGCCTTTGCACGTTTTTTTACTTCCCAATTTTTTAAGGTTTTTAGTCAAATTTCTCTGGAATTCCTTGGAATACTAATGCATGATTATGCAGATGTAGTTAATGCCTTGTGGAAGAGCGTGTACAGTTCAGAGGAGCAGATGGATCACCACAGTCTGGTGAGATTGATGCAGCGGGGAGGGACGAGAGGTTCGGGCCGATGCTCGAGGCTCAGGGGAAAGGCAAGACGGACGTTTAATCAGAATTCTACTAGCACCATTAGTATTGGAACTCTGCACTGGCTGCTGAAGATGGGATGGAGCGTTTATGGGAATGCCCTGAGTGATTTTGATGTCGGCTCTTGAATCAATTCAACTCCAGAAAACTGGAAATAATAAGGTACCCATTTTAAACTTTTTTTCTATATCAGGTGACTGTTACCCAAACAATTCCTGCTTAAAGAGAATGAGCTTTTTATCTTTAAATCTCATTTAGATGTCTAATATACCCACGAGACAGTCAAGAGTGCCATAAAATAGATTTTTGAGACAGTAAAATAGATCAGAAGCAGCCGAGAAATGCTAAATGTGTAAAAAGTTATCAGTAAACGCAAGATGAGTCGGTTGGTTCTGGAAGAGTTAAGACTGGGTCATGCTCAGATCTGGACTGATCTCAAAACAATGACACCTCTAGGGGTTTGAACCTGGCCCACTGCCTAGGCAGGCAAACGCATTAACTTCTGTGCCATGGACTCTCTTGGTTTCAGAGTAGAGACTTGTAAAGAACTCAGCCAAATATATTCAGTTTATTGTTTTCGTTCTTTTATTTGGAAACTAGGCATAGCCAATTATATCGCTACATACAAGAAGCATTTTAAATACAGATAGCTGAACTATGAGACAACATATTGAACAAGATACTCCCTAGGCAGATTTTACACTTAATTGCCTGTTAAATACTTCATTTAGTCAACTAAGGAATGCATGTGAACATCGCAACGATGTAGAATCTGTTGTGTGTATGCGGGTATATATGTGTGTGGTGTATGTGTGGGGTCTGAACTCTGTGCTGTGTGGTCTAAGTGTATAGTGTATTCATTTGTGCGTATATGTATACGTGTGTTGTGTGTAATATTAATGAGTTGCATAGTGGTGTGAATATGGTTTGTACATGTGTATGTATGCTGCATAGTGTGTGTGAGTGTGTGTGTGCGTGTGTGTGCGTGTGTGTGTGTATGTAGAATGTGTGGTGTGTATTTCACTTTTAACTCTTTGTTATTGTTGTTGTTGACATTATTTCAAATAGTATTCAACTGTTTATATTTTACAACTTTCACAGATCATTTGACAACTTCTATTCTACCACTGTTGGACTCACTTGGGTTCATTCCTGGCATCCCTCCCATTCCTGGCATTCCTCCCATAGGCGACATACCTCCCATTGGCGACATACCTCCCATTGGCGACATACCTCCCATAGGCGACATCCCTCCCATTGGCGTCATTCCTCCCATAGGCGACATCCCTCCCATTCCTGGCATTCCTCCCATAGATGGCATTCCTCCCATAGGTGATATACCTCCCATTCCTGTCATTCCTCCTATTTGTGGCATTCCTGCCATATTTGCCATTCCTCCTAAAGCCGACATCCCTCCCATTGATGCCATCCCCATCATGTCATTACCAACAGCGTTATACTGATTCATGTGTGGATCCAACGTGCCCGTCGATTGAGGCGCAGGATGAATCAACTGGTTTGCTGAAGGCTGGACAGCCACAGTTGCAGGAGACTCAACGACAGGTGTTGGAGGTACAACTGGGACCCCTGGAACTAGACCAGGGTCGACAAATACAACGTTAGCTGGAGACACCTGCAGAACTGAAGTTGAAGCTAGTGGCGCAGAAACTGCTGACGCTGCAGCTGCTACTGCCGCAGCCTGGTTCACGGAACTTGCGTTTGACAAAGTTAGTCTAGTCTGTGTTGTATCTATCCCTGTAAGTTGACTAAGAATATCATTGGCAACAATAGAAGGCTGGTCTGAGAAAAGTTGCCCTTGGGAATTAATCTGACTGATAAGTTGACTTTGTGATAGAGAATCTTGCAATGCAGCATTATTAACATCAGAAGGATTTAGGAATTGTTCGTTGGTTCCTGTAATCACCTGGTTTGGGGGTAACTGTCGAGGTTCCTCAAATACCTGTTGCCTATAATTTTGCGGACGACGCTGTTGTGAATCTCTCTGCCTATATTCTGGAGCCAAATCGCCCTGGAGAAATTGCGGTTCTTGAGGTTTCAGTTGCGGTTGCTGTTGTAGTTGCTGTTGCTGATTAATTTGTTCTTGTTGCCTCTTAAGCTGGTTCTGCATTCTTTGATTCCTTTCACGTTCTTCCAATAGTTCCTGTCTCAAACGTCTTTGTCTGATGAGATCTTGTTGCTCGATTTGTTGAGATCTGAAATCTGCGGACAGAACATTTTTGCATAAGGCGTTGATCATGTTTAGCCAAATTCAGTTGTCATTACTATGACCTGATTTATGTGTTATGAGCTACCAGTTATCTTCTTCTTCTTCTTCTTCTTCTTCTTCTTCTTCTTCTTCTTCTTCTTCTTCTTCTTCTTCTTCTTCTTCTTCTTCTTCTTCTTCTTCTTCTTCTTCTTCTTCTTCTTCTTCTTCTTCTTCTTCTTCTTTTTCTTCTTCTTCTTCGCGTTCACCAGCTGTACACTCTGGCGGAAAGTTCTGGTTGCTCGTCCACTACTGAACTGCAGTCCTGCTCCAGAACCTGAGTGTTACGAGTGCATCAGTTTTACAGCTCTCATTCTCTTGAATACAGACTGTTGGTTCATTGCCTCTCCGGCAGATGCACTCCGACTTCAAAGGAAGCTCCACAATGAGTCGACTCTTACGACATGCTTTTGGGGAGGCAGTGGGTCTATTCTTGTTTTCCCCACAATGGAGCCCCGGGACCAACACGGGGGTATGAGCTACCCGTTATGAGTTGAGAAGCGGCCTAGCAACATTCAGGACATTCACGTAAGTGCTCCGACCCATCTTCAGCAGGAATTAAAGAGTTCGAATTCCCAGGGCACCACTAACAGTCTGATTGTTCCGGGGCCCTATTATCAGGCAAACAAGAATAGACCCAACTGCCTACCCAAAAGCATGTCGTAAGAGTCGGGTAATTGGTAGCTTTCTTCAAAGTCGGAGTGCATTTGCCTGAGAGGCAAGGAACCAACAGTCTGCACACAAATGTGTCAGATCTATCAAACGGATGCACACGCAACACTCAGGTTCTAGAACTGGACTGCAGTCCAGAATTGGACAAACAACTAGAGTTTACAGCTGGTGAACGCAAAGAAGAAGAAGAAGAAGAAGAAGAAGAAGAAGAAGAAGAAGAAGAAGAAGAAGAAGAAGAAGAAGAAGAAGAAGAAGAAGAAGAAGAAGAAGAAAAGAAAAAGAAGAAGAAGAAGAAGAAGAAGAAGAAGAAGAAGAAGAAGAAGAAGATGAAGAAGAAGAAAAAGTATGATTGCGTCGTTTCCCCCTGAGTATCGAGCGTCAGAATCCCTAGTCACTCCTCACTACATCATTATCTTTAGACCGTGAGGGCCTGCGTGGTCTCGAGGTATTGTGTCCGCCCCAAGTGCTAGAGGTCCCGGTTCAGGCTTCGGTGAAGGCTGGCATTTTCTCTGTTTTTGTGGACTGCTAGTAATTTCCCCTGGTCTCTGGGTAGTGAGATCGGACGCCCGAGTGTATTGTGGCGCACGTAGAAAATCCCTTGGCAGTTAAAAATCGAAAAGAGTAGCCCAACGGCGCTGCTCGGGCTAAATTTTGAGTTAAAAATCTACCCAAATTATTTCGGGATCTTCGTCGGTGCTACAGAGCCTGTGCACTGTGCTGAGCTTATTCTGACCCAGACTTGAGTTAGAAGTTAAACGGAGCACTTATAGGTAACTATCCGTGTGCCATGATGTTGATCCGTAGTTCCAACTTCAAACTTTAACCTTTAGATTGTAATGATCCATTTGTGCATCCACCCTGTTTACTCACCCCCAAAGGACTTCAGAACACTCAGCTTGTCATGAATCAGAGTCAGCAAATCTACTTACCTGTCTATTTCCCAACACTCTGCCATATACTAAAAAAAGTATTTGAGGGACGCTAACTACGCGGGATCTCTGAAGCGATGCTTGCCATTTTGCAAAGAGCATTCTTATCTGCACCTTTCCTAACATGTTCCGTGAGTCAATTAGAATCACGATATGTGTGTCCAGCTACTTCTAAAGCCAATGGAAGATTGCAGGGACCGCTTCCATCTCCATTCTCAAACTAGATGTTGCCGTATCAGATGCCAGGCTTTGTTTCACTAAGCGAAGTTCGTTCGCTTTTGCTATGCTTACCATGAACTTCTGTTGCCCTCAACACAGAGCCACCTGTATAAGAAATAACATCACCTGGGCGGGATTCACCATAATTTATTTGTTAAACTTCCATTTCTGCAGCACCTTGATACTCTGACATGATGTAATCAATTTACTCCCACTGTTACACACTAGAAGCGACAAATCTACTCATTATACAAGGATGTAACTACTAAGAAATACAAGACAACACATCCCTTTTGTTGCTTTATTGCAAGCCACTTTAGTCGCATCATTGCAAACCACTGGAGTAAACTAACGACTAATCAACTTTGTCATCTCAGGACAAACCAATATAATCAAGTAAATATAAACCAACTTAGCCACCTCATGCTAACCCAAATAATTCGCCTCACCACACTATAATTTAGTCGCTCCACGGTGGCTAAATGTGTGTGTTAGTCTGTGTGTGTGTGTGGGAGGGGGGGGGGTTGAGGGATAGTGGGCTGAGATTCCCATCTCTTTAGTTATAGTTTGAAGATGAGATTACACCTCCCCCGATTGTGTTAATTCTTCGTCCCCTTGTGGGATGCAATTTGTCATTATTTAGAGGCCCCACCCTGGCTCTTGCCAGGGGCCCTAAATATGGCCTAACGGTTGAACATCTCCACGGGTGATCCTCATCCGCATGGTGGCATCTTGTGTCACTGGGTGTTTATCGCTTGTGTGATGTCACGGTGGGGTACAACTTACCTACTTACCTACCCTCCCCATCACCCTTTCCTTTTTTTCTGAAAACCCACATCCCTCCAATTACTTTTTCAAAAGCAACGCCTCTGGCCAACATATACTGTAATGTTCCAGTATACTTGTGTAGAAAGACGTTATCACACTCTGCCGTACCTGTAAGTGTAGGCTGTCATGCTTCTCATGTACATGGATCAGCTCAGTGTTCTTGTCTCGCCACATATTTTTGGCCAAGCTATCGACGTATTTTATATCTGTCCACTTCTCTTCCTCTCTTTCCGTCCATCTTGCCAGTCATTGCCAGGTTCTCGAGTGAATTCCTTCTCATAGCATGTCCGCAAAGACATCCATTGCATTTGTCTAATTTGTCTAAATAGTTTACGCCGTTCATTTGGCCCAAGGAACAGTATGGGCCAATTTAGTCTACAGTTGACAAAATGTATGACAGGTATGGTTTTTTGTGGCTGCCCATACAGATAAACTCTAATAAACTGTAGTAGTAGAAGTAATAGTCTTAGTGGATGCAGTAGTAGTAATAGTAGTAGTAAAAGTAGTAGTAGTTGTAGCTGTAGTAGCGCCAGCAACAGCAGCTGCTACAACATCTGTAGTGGTAGCGGTGGTTGTAGTAGCAGTATTTAAAAAAGGAGGAGGAGGAAATGAAGAGGAGACGAAAAAGATGATGATGAGAAAGAAGGAGGTGAAGAAGAAGGGGGAGGGAAATAAGGAGGATGAAGAAAAATAGAATAGAGGAAAAGAAAGAAGAAGAAGAGATAGAAGTCTAATAGACTAACACAGATACTTACCGCTTATGCGTATAGATTCTGGAGCAGTGTTTCCAAGTTGAGAAAACTGTGAATAATAATTTGCAAGGCTCATAGCTGAGAATTGATGAATGAACGTTCATACTGACAGCATTTATATGAGTCACTCATAACTTAGTAAATAATAAAGTTATTGTTAGTACTATTATTGTGTATATTAAAAACTTAGGGGACTAGCACTGTGAATAATAATGTGGAGCGTTCCCACTGTCAGCTTTAACGGGAAATGTTCCCACGGTTAACATTATTGAGGAACGTTCCCACAGTGAACATTAATGTGGAACGTTCACACGGTGAACATTAATATGGAACATTCCCACAGTGAACATTAATATGGAACGTTTCCACAATGAACATTATTGTGGAAAGTTCCCACAGTGAACATTATTGTGGTAAGTTCCCACAGTGAACATTAATGTGGAAGGTTCCCACAGTGAACATTAATGTGAAAAGTTCCCACAGTGAACATTAATGTGCAAAGTTCCCACAGTGAACATTAATGTGGAAGGTTTCCACAGTGAACATTAATGTGAAAAGTTCCCACTGTGAACAATAATTTGGAATATTTACAAAATGGTAGTTAATATTGTGGCGTTCCTACTGTGAACATTATTGTGGGAAGTAACATGTATACTGTGACTGTTTACATGGAGCATTCATACTCTGGACATTAGTGTTCTATTCCTATTACCAGCAATAACATCCGGGTCATTATTCTGTGTAAATGAGTCCTGTTCGGCCACATTTTGTCATAGACTCCAGCCTTTATCATCGAACTCATCCTGTCTTTATAATGTGAGACCAGCATGGAAAGATTTGAAAATTCTAACTAAAAGTAACAGAGAAACAGCGGAACAATATTCTAATGGTTAATGTAAGAAACGAATCAAATATCTTACCCGAGAACGAGGTCTTGTCCTTGGATTGAGTCTGTCAAACTCGGTTTGATCTATTCCAGCATTTCTCTGCAAATAAATAGAATATTCACAATGTGTTAATTCATCTGGAAGTTTATCGAGGGTTAGCTGGTTGTTGATAAATTAACTATTTGGCTGGGAGGTGGATTGGTTGGTGGATAGGTTCATATGTGTTAATGGGTTAATTAGGTGGCTGGTGGGTAGGTAGGTTGGTAGATAGGTTAATATATTGCTGCTTTAATGAGGTGGCTCGTAGGTGAATAGATAGGTTGATATGTTGGTGGTTTCATTAAGTGGCTGGTAGGTGAGTAGATATGTCGAGATATAGATATGTTGATGGTTTTATTAGGCAGATCCTCATAGCGCAATATAACACTATCGTCTGGAAAGACGGAAAGGTGCCAATCGAATCGATATACATACATATATGAAAGGCCGGAAACGCAATGGTACGGACATGTATAAGATCTAGCGGGTACTCTAAAGGACGCAGTGGAGGGGAGAAGAAGAAGTGGCAGAACAGCAAAGACATGGATACAGAACATGGCTGACCAGACAGACCTTAGGCATGCAATCATGAAGGCCATCACATCTGACTGGGAAGAGTGGAAGGAGCTGATCTGTCAACAGTTATATCGTCACGCCCTTGTGGGAAGCAATCTTTAATTATTTTAAAGCCCCAGCCTGGCTTTTGCCGAGGGCCTCAAATATAAAAAGTTAAAAAGTAAAGGGACATTTTTCACGCCTTAAGGCATATACCGCTAGACCTATATTTTTTATAGACCAATCGGCACAAGATGGATGATGTGGTCAGCATCACGCCGGCCGCCTTTACTTCCCAGGACTGCACCCGGTACCCACTCAAGGCTGGGTCGACCTGGGAGTGCCTTAAATATAGCTGATACAGAAATATGGCCTAACAGCTGAACGGGGTTTCTGGGACCTGCCGACGGGTGATCCTCATCAGCATGGTGGTACTTAGTGCTACCAGGCGTCTATCGCTTTGTGTGATGTCCTGGTGGGGTACAACTTACACACATACATACATAAGTCAACAGCCACTGGTGATCCAACGACATGCAGTGTTACGGGATGATGATATGATATATATATATATATATATATATATATATATATATATATATATATATATATATATATATATATATATATATATGCATGTATGTATGTATGTATGCATGAGTACTCATTTAAGTAACACGTTTTACGATGAATGAAACACCCTGCAAGCACAAACTTTCTGTAATATATTACGTCAAGTGCTTTAAAAAAAAGTCTGCGTCTGTGGCTTCTGCGCTGCGATCGAGCTTCGTAATACCGGGGTGCCGAATTCGATACCGGCTGCGGACCTTGCGCCTTGCGCTGGTTTTGACTGTGGTATCGAGAACCACCAACTAAGTGAGGAAAAGCTGAACGTAAATTTCATGAGAAAAACTACAACAGCCAGAAGAATGCTAGAACTGGTTCTGCAACGCAATTGAAACGACAGACAACTAACATTAAAATGGAATAAAGTAAGACCAGTTTTCATGCCTCAAGGCGTGTTCATCTCCCAGAACATTTCGTGCAACTAACTCTAGGTATTGTCAACCTCACAGCCTAGCATCTTCTTCTTCTTTGTTTACCAGCTGTAAGCTCTAGCGGAAAGCCCTTGTTCTTCGTCCATTTGGACTTTAGCTTTGTGCCAGGACCTGAGTTTTGCGTGTACATCTGTTTTGCTGACTAATTTGAGCGCAGTTGGTTGTTCCTTGCCGCTGGGGCAGATGCACTCCGACTTCGAAGGAAGACCCCAGTTAGTTTACTCCTACGACATGCTTGATGTAAAGGCAGTGGATCTATTCTTGTTTTTCCCACAATGGGGCCCAGGAACAGACACAGACTTATGACCAACGGCTCCGTGGTCAAGGATACAAGCCGCTGCACAATAACTGCTTCTGATAGTGTTAATAATAGCAAATTATTTTTTAAACATTGTAACACTGGACAGATAAGAGAAGGTTCTTGACAGTTCTGTTTTCTGTCATTGCAGGATGGAGTGTCATCACACGAACTGATACATGATGTTGAAGGTCACAGATTGTGGAAAAGTATGATGGCAAACTACAGCTGGCAAGACACTTGATGACGATGATGATTCGTAGCACACACAAACGCTCTCACCTGATTACTCTTTAAAACCTGATGATGAAAGGCTCTACAGGCCTTGCTAAAAAAAATTTAACAAGAAGCTGATAATCATGGTCTCAGTAAGGGTTAAAGGACTCAGAAAAACGCAGGAGAAAATAAAATACTATCCATTATATACAACATTCAGAAGGAGACAAACACAGTTATCTAGTCATGGAAAAGGACCACTAGAAAATATCGTGACTACTGGAATTATCACTGGTAGAATAGGCAGGGGCAGACCAAGAGAAATGATATGGGTGACTTGAGACGAAGGCATGGAGGAATATCATCAGTGGAATTGATCCAGAACAGCAAAGACTGAGATCTGTGGATGTGCATGAACGCCTACACCGACTGACAAGTCACTTGATGATGATGATGATCCTGTATAGACCTTGGCGACAGCAATAATCCTGCTGCCCCTAAACCTCAGGTTTAAAGACCCCACCCCTAGCCCCCCCCCCCCCTTCCCCTCCACCACCCAACCACACCAACCCTCTTCAAAGTTGAAAAAGTGGTTTAAAAAAAAAAGGCAGTAACTGCAGTAGCAATTTCGCAACGCAGGTGGTATTCTTGCCTTTAAAACGCCCCTGTCCATCTTTTGATGACCTACCTGGGAAAACCGTGACACTTGTCTTGTGGGTGGGCTGTCCGCTCCTGCTAAGTTGTCTGACTGCCGTCTCGGGGCACGATTTTGAGAAAAAGGTGGGTCTGAAAAAAAAAATTAAAGTAGATGCTTTTCAGAATTAATGACGAAACAGAGGCATCGACAAATAGAAAACAATAAGGAGTAGGGGCGCCATACAAATCGTTTAGGCAAAAGGGTGGCCTATAGTGGGGTAATCCTAGTTTAATATTATAATAATAATCGTAAATATCATCATGATGTAGCGGGTTCCTTCTAGAACGTAGCCCTCATGACATTTTCACTTGAGAGGAACTCCGTCTCCTATCTCGTGCACTCTATAATCTAAGCGGTTCCTTATATCCTATACCCATATGTTTGATGGTCGACCCCTGCCCTTCTTGCATTAACATTACTGACTACGTTCCTCAACATTATAGACTAGGTGACCTAATATTATTGTCTAAATTTCTTTACAATACTTAGTGCCTCAACATTTATGACTAAGCGTCTTGACCTTATTGACTAAGTGATTGACAGTATTGGTTAAGTGCCTTAACATTACTGAATTAGTGCCTCGACTTTATTGGCTTAGTGCTTTAACAGTATTGACTGGGTGCTGTAATTTTTTGGAACAAAATTTCTAAGTGTCCTAAAATTATTGGCTAAGTGCTTTAACAGACTGGGTGCTGTAATTTTTTGGAACATAATTTCTAAGTGTCCTAATATTATTGACTAAGTATCTAAACAATATTGACCATGAGCGTCATTTTTTTGGGTGTGACTAATTATATATGTCACACAGGGCTTTAAGTCTATTCCTCCTGTCCGCTCTGTCGCGTGCAGTCTCTGGCACATCATGAATAGAATCCAGTCTATCACATTTATCTTTTCTTATCAACGATCATTTTCTTTTTGGCACCCTCTCTTCTTCAGGCCCTTTATTTCTCATTGCAGTACCTGTTATGTGATTATCTGCTCCTTTTTCATCTGGATTTCACCATCTTCTTCGTCACGTACATGTTTTAACTTATGTTTATCTAAACATTTCTCTTTTTCTTGACCCCTCTTGAATTCATCACTTTTCAAACATTTGTTTTCAAAGGCATTCAACTTTCATTCCATGTTTTTAGTTGTAATTCAGTTTGCTGGGTCGTAATTCCCAACCACTATAATAGCAGACAAGATACGACAAAAGAAACAGAAAACACAAAACAAATATGCTCTTGTTAAACTTACAGACAGAAGATCGCCTTCGGCTGTCAACAAACTGTGCCAGGATGGACGGCTGGAGCGCAGCCAGCAGAACAATGACAAACAGGCTGTGGCCAAGTTCCATCTTCATCATCGAAATCTGATGGGAGACCTAAACTAGAGTTTTCAAGCAATAGTTAAACTGAAGTTTTTTTTTTCTCAAATAATTAAATTAGGAGCACAACTAATACTATTACAAAAACTTGTAGAAATATAGTAGAATTATAACCAGCAACAGATGTAACGATTTCAGCAGCAGCACTAGTAGTGACAGCAATATTTTTAGTAGTAGCTATTGGCAGTTGCTGTAATAGTAATAGTATTATTTGAAGCAACAGTAGTAGAATAGTAGTTGCAATAACGACAGCAGCAGTAGTAGTGGTAGTGGTTTCTGTTATAGTAGTAGCAATAGTAGTTGTAGTAGTAGTAGTAATAAAAGCACTAGTAGTGTTAGTAGTAGTAGCAGTTGTAGTAGTAAAAGGAGCAGCAGAAGTAGTGGTGGTAGTAGCAGTGGTAGTAGTAGTAGTATTCATAGTGGTAGTAGTAGTAGTAGGGCTGGTAGTAGTAATCGTGGTAGTTATAGTCATACTAGTAGTAGTATTATTAGTGTTAGTGGTAATTGTAGTGGTAGCAGTAGTCGCAGCAGCAGTAGTAGTAAAAATAGTAGTAGTCGTAGAAGTAGTAGTAGTAGTATTAGAAAGTAGTAGTAGTTGTTGTTGTTTTACTTAGTACAAGGAGCAATAATGAAAACCTTGAAAAGGTGATGGAAAGTGCAAACATCATATCAGTACCGCTGGGGATAGCAGGAATGTTAAGCATATGACATCACGGTGCAGACGAACGAAGTGACATTATAATGACAGCTTTAAGATGGCCGTCTCACTTTCAACATTTACCAAAGAGGAGCAACGTTCTGTTAACCGTTTATTGTAAATTATCATTACACTTTCGTTTTCGTTTGAAGACCATTCTTTGTAAACAGGTGTTGTACTTTTTCATGGCAAATAAGACCGCGTCTAATATCCAATTTGCGCTCCAAAGGACTCCTTGTGGTCTTATTTTCAGAGGATTTCTTAGCGTTTCGTGTTTTCCACAGTTATCCAAGTTCACAAACATATGCAGGGGCTGCCATGTCTTGTGGTACTTAAACATTGGCGTTTACTACCCGTCCGAAGTCATCAGTATTAAGAATAAAAATAACAAATGTGAAGCTAAACGAAGGCAATGGAAAAGACGCACACAAACACAACCGAAAGTTTCCATTAAAGTCTTTATCAACAGATTACTAAATACGGCACAAACTGTGACTAGAAAACTCAACGGTCAAGATAAGAGTACTAAAAAAAAAAGAGGTCAACATGAAACAAGAAGTACGTCACGAGGAGAAAAGTATGAATATGAAGCCTATAATACGTAACGAAATGAGTAATAAGGCGTATGTGTAAAAAGGGAAGATATAGGGATAAGCTCTATAAATGAGCAGTAAATACATTTAATTAAATAAAGTGGTGTTGAATAT